AGGCTACTCTCAAGAACACTCAAAGGTGATATACATGGACATTAAACACTCATGTTAAACTCTGAAAAACATGCGAAGAATGATGCCAAAACATGCTAGGGAATGGGTGTAAAATAGAAGGCATTCAAGGGCACAAAAGAGGGCATTACTCAACACCTACCCCAAGCGAACATGGCATGAACTTTTCAATACAAAACAGAGTTTTAGCATGCAAAAAGGACCTCCAAAACCCACTGATATGGCAGCTAAGGGACACAAACCAAGAGGCATGCATTAAAGGCCAAACATGGAGCATAAGACCACACTTCTTCAAAGCATTGAAAGGATAGCAAAGTGCAAACACATAAGCATAACACGTGGACTGAAATGGCATAATGAGTGATTCCCAGTCACTGAAATAGCCAAGATAATGCATGCTAATGACTCACACACCCGATGCCAACATGCTAGAATGCAAAGAGGCTATACAAAGCATGAAAGGCATGACCAAATCGACACCCAAAAAACCTCAAAGATGGCAAAATATGACCACAAACTTCACAAAGTTAGGTCAAAACATGAGAGCATGGTAAGCTAAATGCATGATGCACTTCTAGGCAAAATAGGGGAATGCAAGGCAAGTATATTAAGCATGCAAGGGGCCATTAATCTGACCAAAAACAGGGGCAAAATGCACCCAAATAACACCCAAAAACCTCTGAAATGGAGCCAAGAACAACTAATCATGCATGCTACCCTTATGAGCCAAAAATGCAAACAAAAGAGAGACCAAGGGAGAGGGGTGTCCCTCCCCTATGCAAGACCTCAAAACCTCTTCATCACCACTGAAAATCTACTAGATTTCAGTGGTGAGAAGGCCAAAACACAATAGTATTCAAAGCTTAACAAAGAGAGCACAAAAAGGGGCCAAACAAGGCCTAAGAGGGGGAGGTCGACCCCCAACACCAAAATGACCTTGATGAAACATCTCAAGCATGCAAATACAAGACTTTTTTTAGTTATACACAAAGTCTAAAACAGCATGCAAAGTGGGTTAAAAACTAGTACAAGATTGGGGAATATAAAGCAAATAGTGTTACCCTTGAAGAACAATTGAAGAATAGCAACCTCAGCCTCTTCCTTATGATCAAAACTAGCTCAAAACTCCAAGAACAACTTCTCAAAACCTCCCAAGTCGAAGTATGGTGTAATGCTATGTGTTTTAGTGCAAAACTAAGAACAAATCTCACTTTTAGGCCCTCAAGCACACACAAATCAAGAGAGAGAGGGAGATATAGAGAGAGAAGGTGTATTTATTAGAATATATATGCATAAGGTCTGGTTTTTGCTGAACCCCTCAAATGGAGAAGAGAGGTCTCCTTATATAGACAATGGAAAAGGCTAAGCTTCCAAGAGAAGCTATCCTAAAGGGGTCAAGTCTTCCAAGGGAAGCTAAGCTAAGGGTGCAAGCTTCTTGAGGAAGCTAAGACAAAGGGTCAAGCTTCCTCAAGAAGCTTGAGCAAAGGGTGCAATCTTCTCTAGGAAGCTTGGACCTAAAAGGGGGCAAAGGTTCAAAATAGCCACACCCGTGCATGGGGGGCAGGGTCTGTGCATTCCAGCTGGCATGCATTATGCCTGTAAAAGGAAAAAAGGTGGTACCGGCCAGCAAAAGAGGCCATCGGACAAACAGGTGGTCGGCCGGCCACACAAAGTGCCAACCAGCCAATGGACTATTTCACCAATGGCCGGTAGCCTCAAAACATGGCCGGTGGCCTCAAGCCATGGCCGGTGGGTATCAGGGGTAGCTAGCAAGCTACTCTCTACCCTCAGGTGCAAAAACAAACAAGTCCTTGGTGTAAAACCAAGCACAGAACAAGCAAGTCGAGAGATCCTGAGGCAAGGCGCATAGCCAAGACCTCCGGAAACTCAAAGCAAACACGAACATGGATGATCACCGAGTGTTCAAGCGGTGACATCCAAGTCTTGAGGACGGTCAAAAATGGGGTGTCTACAGGTGTCTACACATAGGCCGGCACTGCTAGAGGCCATGAACAAGATGAAACTGCCCATTGACACCACCATTGACCAACCGGTGTCGTTGGTCACCTATAGGGATGTTACACCAGTGATATTCTTTACAGATAAAGAGTTGCTACCTGAGGGTGCGAACCACAATAGACCCCTAAACATGACACTGGAGAGCTGGAAGAAATGGATCCCCGTGGTACTAGTGGAAATTGCCTTGGCAATTAATGTGTCTAGCAAGGACCGCCTATGCCATAGGTTTAAAGTCGATTGACTTCATGCCCACAACCCAAGTCGTTCGAGCCTATGACAACACTAGTCGGCATGTTATAGGAACGTTCAAGAGCCACCTATTGATCGGCCCATCCGAGCATGAGGTGGAATTCCATGTCAAGGACGTACCGACAACTTTTGTTCTATCCTAGGAAGGCCATGGCTACATCAAATGAAGGCAGTTTCATCAATAGTGCACCAGCTGGTGAAATATCCCTTTAAAGGTGGGATTACGACTGTCTACAAAAATTTTGTGATCCATCCTCCCCAGGGAACTACCATACCTCTATTAGAAATCATACATAGGGAAGAGGACATGTTCCTCTCCGGTTTCTCCTTGGCGGAGTCCTGGTTGGTCTAAATTATCATGGCGAAAGATGATGAGAACTATGTGAGTGCCCAGTCCATTTACTTGATGAACAAACAGGGGCATATTCCTGGATTAAGACTAGCGAGCAATGGCAGGCAAGGAGGTACTATTGCCAGAGAGATGAGTCACAACCCCCATGCTTTTGGGCTGGGATACAAACCTACTATTCAAGACTGGAAAAGGAAGGGAGATGAATTGAGAGGGACAATTAAAGAAAAGAGGACTGGGAGGCAATATAAATTAGTCCATAAGCCAATTCGGGGAACCCTAAATGGATGCTTTGTTCACCAAGGGAAAGATTTCCCATTTTGTGGATTTCCAGAGCCTTGGCTTGACCAGGAAACAAAGACTAGGTACCCGAGATTTGAAATCTTCTTCGGGCACCAGTTACCAGAAAGGAGGATGAGCAGGCTGACCAGAGCATTAATACAGATCAAGGCAGGACTTCCAGCTTTGACATCGACGACGAAGAGGAGCTATTGGGGAAAGCATTGGCTGATCTACTAACAAGTTCTAATGCTGGGACTAAGCCCGCCAATTTGGGGGATAGTTTTTCTATCTCAATGATCGGGGACAAACTAGCAGAAGATTTCATTGGTCTCATCGTGGATGCATCTGAGGCACCATGCTTGGTCTGGAAGTTTGAGAAGGGCACCATCAGTAGCTCTGAATCGGATAGTGAGTCCAAATCTGGTTCCATTAAGTCTGTGCAGTCGAAGTCAAATTCGAGTTCTTCTGAGTCTAGTACTTCAGGGAGTGGTAACTCAGATACCAAGGTCCTGTCTACGTCATCTTTTAGTTTTTCTTTTGAGTCTACTGTAACTGAAGATCTAGACTTTTTGAATGGGAATGCTGTAGATTTCACTTATTTCTCTGTGCCTTTGGTTTTTTGCACTGATCTTGATTTTCAAAATTTTTACTTAAATGAAGAGGAAGAAATTCCTCGGGCTTTGAAAAATTTGGTTGATCATGAGAAGGAAAGGCATGTTAAGCCTTGTATAGATGAAATCGTTGCAATTAATATGGGTACTGAGGAGGATCCCCGCTTGCTCCAGATTAGGTCCACGTTGTCTTCGGAGGAATGCGAGCGTTTAATCGCTTTATTAAAAGATTTCAAAGATGTTTTCACATGGTCCTACAAAGACATACTTGGAATCGATCATGAGATTGTATAGCACCAGATCCCTCTTGACCTTGAGGCCTGACCAGTCAAACAGAAACCGCGCAGAGTCCGTCCAGATTGGGCATTGAAGATTAAAGAAGAGGTCACCAAAGAAATTGAGGCAGGTTTCTTGATGGTTTCTGAGTACCCAACTTGGCTAGCTAATATCGTCCTAGTTCCGAAGAAGGATGTAAGGATCAGAGTTTGTGTCAACTTCTGAGATCTAAGCAGAGCTAGTCCAAATGATGACTTTCCACTACCGCACATTGACGAGTTGGTGGATTTCACAGTAGACCGCGCATTGCTTTCGTTCATGGATGGGTTTTTCGGGTATAATCAGATTTTGATAGCGCCAAAGGATATGAAGAAAATTGATTTCACTACGTCGTGGGGTACCTACTACTACCGAGTTATGCCTTTTAGGTTGAAAAAGTTGGGGCTACCTATCAGAGGGATGCGACCATGATCTTGCATGACATAATCCACAAAGAAGTTGAGGTGTACGTGGATGACATGATTGTCAAGTCCAAGGAGCGAGAAGGCCACTACACTGCACTGGAAAAGTTCTTTCAATGGATCAGGGAGTATAGACTAAGGTTGAACCCATATAAATGCACCTTTGGCGTAACGGCAGGGGAAATGTTGGGATTTCTGATCATACAGAGGGGAATTGAAGTAGATCCTTCCAAAATCAAGGCCATCTTAGAAATGCCACCACCGAAGACTGAAAAGGAAGTGCATAGCTTTCTGGGTAAAGTGCAATTCATAAGACGGTTTATCTCAAAATTAACCTTGACTTGTGAACCATTATTTGGTCTGTTGAAGAAAGGGAAGAAGTTCCAATGGGATGATCGATGTCAGTTTTCCTTTGAACAGGTCAAGCAATACTTGTAGAATCCACCTGTATTGTCACCACTCGAACCCGAGAAGCCGCTAATCTTGTACTTGTTAGTGAAAAATTCAACCATGGGGTGTATGCTAGCTCAGGAATTAGAAACAAAGGTGGAGAAGGCCATCTACTATCTAAGCAAGAAAATGCTGGATTACGAGACGCGCTACACTCCCCTCGAGAAAGCTTGTTCAGCTTTGGTATGGGCAACGAGAAAGTTGAGGCACTACTTGTTAGCTCACTCCATAATTCTGGTTTCGAGATTAGATCCCATCAAATATCTCTTTGAGAAACCGGCACTTATGAGTAAGCTAGTTCGTTGGTTGCTCCTTCTCTCCGAGTTTGACCTTAAGTATGTCACGCACAAATCTGTCAAAGGAAGAACCGTAGCAGAATTTTTGGCAGACCCAGTGGAAGGAGATGAGGCAGTAGAGTACCTATTCCCAAATGAAGACATTCTGCGGATAGAAGAGAAAACATGGACAACGTACTTTGATGGAACGTCTAATCAGTATGGTTATGCGATAGGTGTGTTGCTTATTGCACCTGATGACTTCTATATACCCCTAGCCTTCAAACTCCTATTCAAACTGTCCAATAATGAAACAGAATACGAGGCATGTATTGTTGGATTGGAAGCTGCTCTAGAACTAAGGGCAATAAGATTGAATGTCATCGGAGACTCAAACTTGGTTGTTTCTCATGCTAATAGGGATTGGAAGTTCAAGGAAGAAAACATGAAGGCTTATCATCAGGCCCTATATATTCTAATTTTGAGGTTTAAAAAATTAACGTGTACACATCTGCTAAGAGAGAACAACCGATTCGCTGATGCGTTCGCAGCTCTATCTTCCATGGTAAACATCCCACTTGGGGCGAAGATGCGTCCGATTATCATCAAATAGAAATATACGCCTACTTATCAGATCATCGCTGCAATAAAGAAGGGACAAGACAAAAACCCTGGTACTACAACATTTTGAATTTTTTGGAAAAGGAGACGTATCCACCAGGGGCAAATGCCAAAGATAAATAGATAATACAGCGCCTGGCCATCCAGTTTATTATCTGTGGAGGTTTGTACAAAAGAGGCCATCTGCGAATGCACAAGCTATGTGTTGAAGAAGGGGAATCGAAGCGTCTTATGGAAGCCATCCATAGTGGAGAATATGGAGCACACATGAATGGTGTGATGCTAGCTCGGAAAATCCTTAGACAAAACTATTATTGATCAACTATGGAGGAGGATTGTATTAGTTTTGTACGGCGATGCCACAAATGTCAAATCCATGCTAATCACATGAATATCCCACCGTCAAAGCTCTACAACATGACTTTGCCATGGCCTTTCTCAGTTTAGGGAGCTGATGTCATTGGGGTAGTCTTGCCAAAAGGCTCCAATGGACATGAGTTCATCTTGGTGGCAATTGATTACTTTAGTAAGTGGGTGGAAGCTCAGTCTTACTCTATGTTTAAGGCATCACATGTGGCCAAGTTCATCAAGAACAACATCATTTGTAGGTACGGTGTGCCGAATGAGATCATCTCTGACTAGCGTTTGCACTTCAAGAAAGAGGTGATCGTTTTTCTTGAGAAATACAACGTGGCTTTTCACAAGTCATCAACATATAGACCATAGACTAATGGAGCTGTTGAGGCTGCTAACAAGAATATGAAGAACATCATGTGGAAGATGGTAGAGACCTATAGAGACTGGCCAGATAAACTGCCGTTTGCACTTTGGTGTTACAAGATGTCAATTCAGACATCTATAGGGGCTATACTCTATTCGCTAGTGTACGGGATGGATGCTGTTTTGCCAATTGAAATTGAAGTACCGTCGCTGTGAGTTATGGTCGAGTGTCAGATAGCGGAGGTGAATTGGCAACAGAGCAAGTTTGAAGAGTTGATGTTGTTTGATGAGAAGAGGTTGAAGGCATTGTACCATGTCCAGGGTTACCAGCGTAGAATTGCTAGGACGTTTAACAATAAGGTTAAGTCCAGAAACCTCAAGGAAGGAGATATGCTACTAAAAGACAACCGAGCTTCCATCCATAACCCTTGGGGCAAGTTTAGACCCAATTGGACTGGTCCTTACATCATCAAATCAATCTGGTTGGGAGGGGCGATTATTCTTATGGATTTAGATGGTCTGGAATTTTCACAGCCGATCAATGTGGACAAATTGAAGAAATATTATCCTTAAGAGGCTCGCTAGACCGAAAACCCGAAAGGGCGACCTAAGCAAAAGTTAGAGCATGAAAAATTAGAAACAAAGAAAAACAGAGCGCACAAGGTCGAAAACCCAAAAAAGCGACTTTGGCAAAAGTTAGAGTACAAAAGGAGAGTGTCAATACTTGAGTGAACTTGAACCGAACTACGTAAGGCTTGATTCTCATCTTTGGGATACGTAGGCAAGTTTATCCCGAAGTTCGGCCATTCTGACTTAATTGTTCTATCCATTTGTTTGCTCGGGCCATCTCTATCCATTGTCTTCTAGCTGGGTTGTGTCATCTTCATTTGGTAGAAGGGCCAGTTGCAAGATAGAGCAGTGATGATGAATGCAGTCATGGGCAGTTATGATCTTCTGATTTGGGGTAGTACACCTTAAGGATTGATTCTGTGTTTGTCAGGTGGTGATCGTTTCCGAAAAATTATTTTGAAAAGTTTTAATGAATTGATTTTTCTCAAAAATTTTACCTTTTACAACTTATAAACCATTTTTGGGACCGAAAAGGAAAATTTTCAGTGCTCACAACTTTAATTCCATTGATTTCAACAAGTACATTCTCCAACTCTCTGATTAAATTAAAGTTGCTTTTACATCTTAAAAGCTCGAAAAGAAAGTCGAAAGCAATAAAACTAGGGGCACAGACAAGTCAGGTAGTTCTATCTCTTCTGCCTGCACTAGTGGAAGTCTCTGCAACCAAAGATGGCCTAATCTACATCTCGTCCTCAAGCCAAGGTAAGCACTCACTAGAAAGGGTGTAATCAAAGCTAGGGGCAGGGGCCAGAATCTCTCTCATCCTCCAAGCAGCGAGGTTCCGAGTCAAGTGCGAAGCACGAATGGGAAATGGAGCCGGGTACTCCACCTCTTCACCTGGACAAGTATGATCATGTCGGAATTGCCATCTGAACTAGAAAGCAAAATAGAATACGCAGTGCGTAAGGCCAATCAACTGTATACCCGGTTGTCGGGACATGCTGTGGCTCATCTTAGTCAAATTAAGCCAGGGGCAACGCCAAGCAATGTCAATTGCAGATCTATTGCACATCCAGTCGCACCACCATCCCTCCAAAGGGAAGTCCACTAGCTGCTGGCAGAAGAAGTAGGCTTGGGCTACGTACTCGGGGCAAGGGTTCATCACTTTCAGCTTATCCGTGAGCCATACCTGGGAAAGGATGAAAAATAAGAGAGATTAAAGAATAGAGAGGTGTACATTGAGAGAAAAGTAAGAAAAGGGTTTAAAGACGAAAATAGAGAGTGAGTGCCGTGTGATGCGAGAAATTATAAATAAGAAAGGATGGGAAACAATACCTGAAGAAGCAGTGGACTCCTTGAAAATTGAGTAATCTCTCACCGATAAAAAGCATCTAAACCCATCAGGGTCTCGGCCAATGCCAAACCCATGTAACTCGTACCCTCTTTCAACCATTGGGCCACTTCAATTAACCTAATGTTGGCTCCACTGTAACTAGGGGCAAGTAGGAAGTGTGAGAGTAAGCATAAGTAGAGGGCATGTTGGCGGTAACCTTGCCAGAGAAGGTCACTCTTGTTTCTAATGACGGAAAACTGAGGAATTAAGCTGGGTATATCCAGCTCCCCTTCATGAGCTAGGAACCAAACCTCATGTAATGAAAGCCCACACATTTGTCCAAGTGCCCGAGCATGGACGAAACGGGGATGCGGCATGATTTCTTTGTCATGTCAGGATGCCATTAAAGCTTTAAATTCTTCAAGTGTAGGGCACATTTCTTGTGATCTGAAACGAAACACATGCGTAACCGGGTTCCAGTATCGGACCGTGACGTGAATGAACGAAAAACAAAGCAAAGTGTGGCTCCAAAGAAAAAGAGCGTTTATACCGAAACCGCGAAAATTCACCTTTTCTGAGCCGTCCAAAGTGGCTACCTAGTCTCGGAGCCTATTGTTGAGCAAAATCTCCATCGTGAGAGGAAAATATCAAATATTTGCTATTCTGACAGAAAAATAGCATCGGAGCACCTTTTATAGACTTTGAGAAGAAGCAGTGCATAACAGTTGGACTGCACCCACTGACATCATTTTTGGGCCCAACCGTGCCTCATTAGAGCCTGGTCGTGCCTATTTAGACCCGACAAGGTCTAAGTGTCAGCCCAAACCAGTGCAAATTACAGAAAAGGGCTGGCTTTTGCCTTGGTATAATGCGACTGTATTTTGAGTTTTGTTTTGTTTGTATCAAGTGTTTTTTAACGTTTTTAGGTTATTTTCATTGTGTTTTTCCGTTATCGAGTTGTATTTTACATTTTTTCCGATTGTAGGTTGTTATCCAATTCAAGAATGAATGTAAGAGCAAGCATTCACAGTTTTAAAGTCTTGTACAAGGTTGTTATACACAGTTGCGCCATTCATTCATCACATGTTTTTATGCAAGAGAAGTCATCTGCAAAATCTTTTTTTTTCATAAACTGGTGGGTCTAACCCTAATTATTGTTTTACAAAAACCAAAAACAAAATAAAAGTCTTCAAAAACAAAATGCAGAGGTCTATCTGAAGCTACATAGTTCCTAACTACAAAGAAAGAAGAAAAGAAACGTAAAATCAACCCATCCCTCTTCCTTCTCGACTACAGAGGAGGTGCATCACTATCATTGCTAAGACTGCTGGACTGGATGTCGGCCTGATCCCCCTCCTCCTCGGGGTCATGTACTCGTCAAGGGAATCCACAGGAGGTGAGCGCTGTCTTACTTTGCCTTTCCCCCAATCAGCCCATCCTCTACCTCTCTCTAGGCCCCGTCTCCCTCTCCTCCACCCAACTGGAGGAGGTCCTGCAACTGCATCTACTGCTGGCTCAAGCTGAAAAAGTACAGATATCAGGATAGACTCAACAGATTTATGGGCAAGTTTGTATCAACAGTGGACTATGGTCAAAGTGTACCTCCATTCCGTGAGAGACCGGAGCAGTCTGTCTCCTCCGCACCATGAGAAACAGCCGATCAAAGAAGGTCATCAACATACCTTGTAGGCACCTGCAAAAGAGAAAGGACTTGAGAATATGGGTATAAATAATAAAACACAGTGGAACAAAAAAAAAAAAGTACAGTGGTGTAGCTCGAATTTTCATGCACCCTTTCGGAAGACGACAAACCCTACAATTAGGACCCCACCCGTGGTTCTGAATCTGATTTCACAAGTGCAATGTGAAACAGTGAAAACACAAAAAGAGTACAAATCCGGCAATTCTTTTTGAAAAATCGATGTTTAAATCAAGTGCCAAAAATGGACTACTTTGCCAGATTTCAGAGTTGCCACCTAAATATTTTTGAGAAATTTAGGAAACCCGAGACTCGTGCCGAAGGCCATTAGTTTTTCATCACCAAAGTGTCTCGGCTTGGGAACTTAGGTACGATAGGGGAAGGTCATGAATTGAGCACCCCACTCGCCCGATCAAAGATCGGCCTTTACTAATCATGATGTGATTCTTATTTACATTATATGCTCTTATTCTGATTTATTAGCTATATTACTATGCGATACGCACACAAGGTATAGACTAATATTTGCAAGAATTGGAACATTTGACTTCATGTTTTTATTTGAAAATTGGTTTGTGAATTTACCACTTGAAAAAAAGGGCTAAAATGGACATTTAATCAAATTATCCCAAGTCAAGCCACTAGCCTTCATCCACAGGCATTCAAACAG